ATTGTATGAATTCAATATAAATTGGATGAATTAAATATTAAATTAGTATTAATTTGATGAATTGAATATTAATCACAATAAATTGAATGTTAATTGTGATGAAGTTAATGAAAACTAGTTAAATTTAAATGTTAATGTTGTGTTAATTTAATGAATTGAATATTAATTAAATGAGACTGAGTATTAATTTGATGAATTTGAGTGATAATTTATTGTTAATTTGATAAATTGGATGATAATTGTGTGTTAATTTGATATAATTGCATGTTAATTTAATGAATTAAATATTTATTAGATGATTTTAGAGTTTAATTTCATGAATTGAGTGTTACTAAGATGAATTTGAATATAAATTGGATGAATTGAATGTTAATTTAGTTTTAATTTGACAAATTGAATATTTATTGGGAAAATTTAATATTTAGTTTAATAAATTAAATAATAATTAGTCTAAAAATGACTGTTAATGATTGCGGGTTAAATGTGTCTCAATAACATTAGTAATTGAATATTTATTAGATGATTTTGAATATTAATTTGATGAATTGATTGTTAATTAGAGGAAGTTGTATATAAATTGGATGAATTGTATATTAATTGGATGAAACTGAATGTTTATTTAATAAATTTAATGTTCACAAATTGAATTTAAATTTTAATTTGATGAATTGAATAATAAATTTTGTATTAATTTGATAAGTTAATTGGATAAAATTGAATATTAATTGAATGAATTTAATGTTAATTAGATGAATTTAGTTGTTAATTTGATATCAATTTGATGAATTGAATGTTAATTGGATGAGATTGAATTATACTTTGGCGTTGATTTGATGAATTGAATGTTTATTCATTATTTTGTATGATAATTGGATGAATTAGAATATTAATTAAATGAATTGAATTTTTATTTGATAAAATTAAATATTAATCTGATGAATTTTAATGTTAGTTAGTCAAATTCAAAGTTAATTTTGGTGTTAATTTAATGAATTTGAACATTAATTGGATCAAAAATATGTTTGGGATCCTATTACACTGATTTATGTGAATTTACCATGATTTAAGGTGAATTTACCACTACTCGGGTAATTTTACTACCGTTTGAGGTAATTTTACCATTGTTACGAATGATATTACAACTGTTAAGATAATATTATGATGATTTTGAGTGATGTTATTAGTATTTAGAGCAAATTTGCCACTATTTAGAGTAAGAATACTACAGTGGTAAATTTGGTCTATACTTTTATAACTTTGTCCACTATTGTTGTAACTTAATCCTAAAGTGTAGGATATGTACTCTTAATTGTTGTAATTTTTCAAAAGTTGCTGTAAATTCGTTCACAGTAATTGTAACTAAACTCATTTCCTTTATAAATTAACCCACAAACTTTGTAACGTAACCTTTAAATGTAGTAACTTTACCCTATTTGTAGTATTGTTAGGACATCTCCAATGTTGACCCAAACTCAAACTCAAACACAAATTGGAGAAAAAAAAATGAGTAAAAAACTTGACTTATTACAAGACAATTCAATGGACAAACTCAAATTTAAAGAATAGCAAATTCAAATTTAAATTAGGACAAATTCAAATTCAAAGGAACGTGAAATATGATCATTGGATCTTTTAAAATAGTGAAATCTAACTATTAAAGATTTGAGTAGATATTTGAGTCTGTCTTGATTTAAGTAAAAAATTGAATCTTCCTTCATTTGGTATATATTTAAGTCAAATACTGAAGCTTGTTTTCAATATGTTTTTACTCAAATTTAAATTTGAGTAAGAGTTTGGGTAAGGAGTGGAGATGGCCTTACCCATANACTGAAGCTTGTTTTCAATATGTTTTTACTCAAATTTAAATTTGAGTAAGAGTTTGGGTAAGGAGTGGAGATGGCCTTACCCATAGATATTATAAATATGACCTCAATTATTGTAACTCTAATTAATATTGTCATATAAATTTTAGATCTTATTATTATGACTTGTATTGTCTGACAAAGTTAATTGTCTTCCTTTACTAATGTAAAATATATAGTATTTAATCCAAATCCTATATAGGAAGTAACCAATTACCCAATAAGGGTAAATTACACCGTTAGTCCTTGAAGTTTGCCATTTATTACACTTTCATATTTGAAGTTCTAATTTCATCAATTTCATCCTCCATATTAACACATTGAAACAATATGGTCTGTAGTCCTAACTGCCGTCTAAATTACTAACGGAAAACCAGCACATGTTAGGACCATGAATGCTATTAAGGGTAATTTTGTCATTATCTAACACATCCCTATATCCAACACATCTTTATTCCAAGTTTAGAAAACATTAAACATGTACCCACAATGCCTAACTCATCTCTCTTCCTCTTTCTAAACAACAAACACTGTTTCAGTCAAGAGGCAAACAAAACAAAGTCACTACACATAATCAAACAAATTTGCGCCATCACCCCTTTTGCCAATCCAACGAAAATTAGCAATTCAAAACCCACAATTCAACCCAATCACCATCCAATAGAAGACATTTCAAACAAATCAAAATTAAATTTACAAATCCAAACTCGAATCGAAATCAAAATCAGACTAAAAATAAAAATCAAAAGTTGATGTAGATGCAGAATCTCAATTCAACTCACAGCCAACCCATGATTTAACCCAATTAATTTAGCCAATTCAAAACCCAAATAAACCCAAAAAAGTAGTAACCCACAAAATGTCTCTACCACTGCCACAAATTTGTACCCACCACCTCTCTACGCCGCCATCACCATGGTGCTACACACGTACGCTATAAACCACTACTTGAAATTCTGTCACTTCAGTCAACCAGTTATAGAATTTCANCACCTCTCTACGCCGCCATCACCATGGTGCTACACACGTACGCTATAAACCACTACTTGAAATTCTGTCACTTCAGTCAACCAGTTATAGAATTTCACTTCAACCCATTACAAACCCATAATTTAATCCATTGAAAACCTAACCTAGATATGACAATTAAAAAATAATACAAAGAGAAATCGGTGGGGGAGAGAATTAGAGAGAAAGCATTTGGTGGGGTTAAGGTGGAGTGTTGGTGTGTTCATGAGGGTGAGAAGCAGAGAAATGGAGAGAGAAAGATGGGCATAAGAGATATTGGGAGTTGGCTTGGCGACAAAACAATGAGACTAGTTGATTAGTGTTCGGTGGGTGTGGAGGCGTGATTACAAGTTGCAACAGATGTTGTGGGTGGAGGAGGCACGAGAAGGTTTCTGTTGGTGGGCTTGAGAGAGAGAGAGAGAGTGATTGTCCATAACTTAAGAGTGGAAGAATTCGGAGAGTTTGGAGGAGAATCTTCTGGATCTTCGACATAGCCACCTTGAAAAGGTGAACTCGAAGACGTGGACTAATTTTCTTGTGCTATTTTCACTATTTTTTGTGTGTACGAGAGAGAGATACGGGGAAAAGGGAGAGAGAAAGAGACAGTCTTGTTGGAAGGGTGGAAGTGGCTTGGTGGTGGTCGCCCTGGCTACTTACTAGTTGTGACATAGATATGGTAGGGAGAGAAGATTTAGGAGAATAAGAGAGAATGTACTTCAATTTTCTTCATTTTTTAACATGTCAAAAATGACCAAATTATCCTTAACAGAAGGCACATGTGATGCACGTGATGATTTTCTATCACTAATATCAACGACCGTTAGGGCAAAGGACTATAATTGGTCTACATATAAACATTAAAGATCAAAGTACTATAAATGACAAACTTTAGGAACTATTAATACAATTCCCCCCTCCCCCAAAAAAAAAAAATATACTCTCTCCGTTCTTAAATATCTGTCGTTTTACCCATTTTTTTTTGTTCCACAATATTTGTCGTTTTATGAAACTAAAGTATAATTAATATTTTTTTTTTCTAAATTTATTTTTATCTCTGTTTTTCCAATAAGTATTTAATANAAAAAAATGTACTCTCTCCGTTCTTAAATATCTGTCGTTTTACCCATTTTTTTTTGTTCCACAATATTTGTCGTTTTATGAAACTAAAGTATAATTAATATTTTTTTTTTCTAAATTTATTTTTATCTCTGTTTTTCCAATAAGTATTTAATAGATTAAGTGTAGGTTAAGTGTCTTTCATATTCTTTTCTTTCCTAATACGTATTAAATTTAGTGATTTTAATTTTATATAATTATTTTTTACTCATATTAGAACTATTTAATTATTTTCTTAATTTTTGTGCAAAAACTTTATACGACGTATTTAAGAACGGAAGGATAAAAAAATGAAAATACTAACTCCTCAATGTCTGTACCTTATTCATGTTATTGTTGTAAACAAGCAATTGAACTTTCCNTAATAGATTAAGTGTAGGTTAAGTGTCTTTCATATTCTTTTTCTTCCTAATACGTATTGAATTTAGTGATTTTAGTTTTATATAATTATTTTTTACTCATATTAAAATTATTTAATTATTTTCTTAATTTTTGTGCAAAACTTTATACGACGTACTTAAGAACGGAAGGATAAAAAAATGAAAATACTAAGTCCTCAATGTCTGTACCTTATTCATGTTATTGTTGTAAACAAGCAATTGAACTTTCCAATGTACAAAAAACACATGCAATGGGAAATTAGAGAGAGAGAGAGAGCACAGCTCTGAGAGTATGAGGAGCCAAAACCAGTGTCCTTTCGAACTCTCCAAGGATCACAACTCCACAACACAACATCCACCGACTCCTCTTAGCTCAACGCCTCTCTATATGATCAAATAGTCAAACCCAGAACACATATAAATATACCNAGAGCACAGCTCTGAGAGTCTGAGGAGCCAAAACCAGTGTCCTTTCGAACTCTCCAAGGATCACAACTCCACAACACAACATCCACCGACTCCTCTTAGCTCAACGCCTCTCTATATGATCAAATAGTCAAACCCAGAACACATATAAATATACCCATTTTTTCCTCTCTCTTTGCCCGTCTCAGACCCTAATTTTGGACTAATCATGGCTCATTCAGCTCTGTCTCAGGTCAGTTCACTTTCCATTTCATTCATAAGAGTCTTAACTGTTGGATTTTGATTATGTATGAATATTATTAAATTACGTTTGGGAGGAATTCTTATACAGTTTGAATTTGCTTGCAGGTCTTTGTCGCTGTTTCTATTAACAGTGATTCGTCTCTTCGGGGACCAAGCTTTAAGGTAGTTAATTTTTTTTTTCAATTAAGTTTTATTTTGGTGCCTGTGGTGGGAAACAAATGAATTACAATGGGGGCCTAAATTTTGTGTTTTTTTTTTGTTTATCTTGTAAATTGGGTTTGATTTTGGTGAAATGTAAGAGTGGTTTTGGCTTTTTTTTTTTTTTTTTTTTTTGTTTTGTTTATGTAAGTTGCTTTCCGTTTGGGTTTTATCGGATTAGTGCATTAAGCTAAACAGTATAAACTTGGTTTTGATTTATAACTTCATTTTTATCTTTCCTTGGGGTTTGTTGGTTAGAGTTCTGCCATAGAAGTATGAGTTGAATTCGAATTCTCTGTTTGACTAACAAACTTTCTTTCAATATGGGCTTTAAAACCCCAAGGGCCAGACTCTACGCTAGTCCACCACCCGGAGGGAATGTAAGGGAGGAAAGGAAAGCTTAAGATCTGCAGTTCGAAATAAAGTTACTCTTGGAATGTCTGCAGTTTGAAATAAAGTTACTCTTGGAATGGAGCTTCCTTCACTTCTCATGCTTTTCTTAAGTTTTGGTTTTAGGACTCAATTGTACGTAGCAATCACTACGTATTGGGATAGCTTTATGTATGATGTACTTCTCTTGCCTCTCGGAACTACTACTTGAAATTCTTTTTGGCTTTCTGAGGCAAAAAATTACTTCCAAACTGCTAACAAACTGATGAACTTGCTTTACTTTCTTGCTTCTAAATCTGAAGGATGTGCACTGTTCCTTTTTTTTTTTTGGGGGTGTGTTTTTGCTCGTTGACTTTGGAATGGAAGTGTTTGATAAATGTTTTTAGATTTTGGGATCTCAGTTTTAAAGAGTCTTTGTGTCCACAAAGAAAACAAAGGATTAGTTGGGTTCCATTGAAAGAAAAAAAACACTAACTATTAACTGATTGTGATCTTTAACGTCAATTTTCAGTCTTTGATATTGATTATCTGGTAGATCTATTTTTAAAGATGAGCGCATTTTATACGGAAGTTATAGAAGAAACCTAGTGAGAAACAAAGGCACCCTTTCTCTTGATGTTGTTGGACTATCATGCATTAGCTATACTTTATATATGGATGAATATTAGTTTTATATGNGTAACGTCAATTTTCAGTCTTTGATATTGATTATCTGGTACATCTATTTTTAAAGATGAGCGCATTTTATATGGAAGTTATAGAAGAAACCTAGTGAGAAACAAAGGCACCCTTTCTCTTGATGTAGTTGGACTATCATGCATTAGCTATACTTTATATATGGATGAATATTAGTTTTATATGACATGTGGATAAGTATATCTTTTTCAATTCAGTTAGCCACATTATCACTAGAATGTTTTTCCCTTTGTTGTCAATATTCTTTGCATGTACATCTGGGTATACACAATTAAGAACTTCCCAGGTCTTAAGAGATGTGTTGTCCTAGTTTTGCCTGCTTATTGTCAGTGTTTTAGTTGCAATCTGCAAAGGTCACCACTAAAACAAGTTCATGGCTCTTGATGCTAAGTGTTTCCGTTCTTTGTCAAACTTGTTCTATAAATTTTGAACAGGCATTATCAAGCAAAGCCAATCCTTTTAAATTTTCATTTAATGTTAAATACATTTACATGTCAAGAGATTTACTTTTTTGGAGAAATTTTAAACAGTTTTGTTTACCACAAGAATACATTTATGAGTAGATTGTGCTTGAGCTTACTGTAACCTGTAGCCTTAGTGTGGATGGAGTATTACATTAACATTCTAAAAATAATATGAAGCCAAATTTATACAATTACATAACTAATACTTGATATCAAATACCCCTATGTTGGTCACTGTTCACTATCCAGCTTGTTGAATTCTGGTCCATTGAAGTAAGCTTATAATAGCCATTGGTTGCTGGTTGAATTTGTATTGTCTCCCCATTAGGGGAATACTTTTGCATAAAGTCATTTTACTGGTAAGAAAAACCTTTATACTGTATGTAGGGGTTGTGATAAACTGATTCTGAAGGCAATTGCATTTCATTTTTCTGCAGACCAATATCATAAGCTTTCGTGATAAATCATGGATATCTGTCTTACCTATCGACTTTAAGACCAAGAATTCACAGTCAAGAAATCCGTCTAGGGTTTTCATGTCAGTGCAACAAGACAGCAAACCTAACGTTGTAGTTTCACCTTTAGAACTTGAAGATGCGAAAGAGCCTCCATTGAACTTGTACAAACCGAAGGGACCATACACAGCAACCATTGTGTCGGTTGAGAGGCTTGTTGGCCCAAAAGCTCCAGGAGAGACGTCTCATATTGTGATTGATCATGGCGGCAGTGTTCCCTACTGGGAAGGTCAAAGTTATGGCGTAATTCCTCCCGTAAGTGTCAATTTGTACTTTTGGTGCTTTATCTTCATTACTGCATGTAGAGGCTTGAGTTATCTGCCAAAACTTCTAATGCTTTTGTGATAGTACCTCTTTTCTATGGATATGAATGATCCTACATCGTACAGAGATTAAAGTGCTCAGATTGCCTTCCTGCTAGCTTGCCACTGGATCTTTACCACCTTGAAAAGCAGTCGTTGGTTCCTTGGTTATCATGGTTCTCATGTTCACTGTATGTTTGCTTATCATGTTAGCTATTAGCAGTAAAAGGATGGGTAGCAGCCTTGGTTATCAAAATAAGTCTAATTTCAAGCTAATCTCGATTTTAAAATCTGATCTAGTGCGTCGGTCTCAACCCATGCATCTGAGGAACATGTAGTTTTGCCTTTATTCCTGGCATGCTAAGTATGACTTCACTGATTTATTTTTGGCATGCTTAGTATGATATAACTAAATTTTAACCTAGCCCTTGGAGTTTTCAGAGTATTTATTGACTATTAGTTCCAAAAAGACAAGCAGCAGTCAGAATTATTAAACTCATGCTATTTTAAATCAGTTCAATTCTGTGGTCCGATCTAGTGTGGGTTTTAACTATACCTTCGACAATATGGAGTTACACTTTGTGCTTGACATGCTAGTTTATGATAGAACTGTATATAATCTTGGCCTTTTCATTTTATTAACATCTTGTTGGCATTTGGTGCTGCAAAGATTGGTAATGCTCAGAATTCCCAGAATCAGGCAAATCTAGGACACTCTCTGTCAGCATTCTTATCTGATGCTGAGTTTCTGTACCATGCCTTTGTGCAACATGTGGTTGGATTTTGTTCTTGGTGTGCTATTTTGAATTTTTGAGAGAACTGTAGTCAGCCTTAGTCAGTATTACGAGTTCTTGTTTTCTTGAATCCCAGGGTGAAAATCTGAAGAAACCGGGAACTCCCAACAATGTTCGTCTTTACTCAATTGCATCTACCAGGTATGGGGACTTTTTTGATGGAAAGACAGCCAGTTTGTGTGTCCGGCGTGCTGTCTACTATGATCCTGAGACTGGAAAAGAAGACCCTTCAAAGAAAGGTGTATGCAGCAATTTTCTATGTGACTCGAACCCTGGAGACAAAATTCAGATCACAGGCAAGGCCCTTCCATGTAGTGACTGAATCAAAATATTTTATTTCCTGAATTGCAAATAAACTACATCAATTTATTAGAACTCTTGCAGTATCGTGCCTTGCATGTTGTGAAATCTCTATTAACAGGCTATACTGGTCATTCCATCCTGGTGTGAATCATGACAGGAGTTTGAACTGAATAAAATATTTGGGTGGCTTGGCATGCAAGTAACTCTTGTCAATTATTATCTCCCACCTTCTTGTTGTTTCATGAGTATGAGGGGAGTTGATTATTTTCAATGCAAAGGAGGCAAAAGAAAGAGATGTTTTAAATATCATGATTGGATTTTCTTCAAGAAATAAATGAAGGTAAGCGGTTTATTTGCTGTGTTAAGGATACTTTAGGAGTGGATAAAGAAAGCCTGCTAGTTTAGTTACTCCCAGTATGCATATGAATGGTGTGGATCCAGAGAAACCAATTAATAATTGTCTTCCGAGTTTCAATGCAAATGAGGAACATGCTATCAAACTGGAGTTTAAAATCAAACAGATAACCAAAATATGAAGTGTAGTTCGTATGCTACCTCTGCATTTGTTTTTTCATGGCTAAAGTTAGCATATAATTGTTGGGTGCTGATGTTGCCCATCTCATTCTCTCTGCTGTCTGGTGTGAATTACATATTTTGCTTCATATGCCCATCCTGCTTTCCTTATTGCATCACTCATTGGTCAAACAATGGTGAAGATTAATGTCCCCTTGCTCGGTGTTGTTAACTGTGGAGCAATTTGGCAGGTCCCTCTGGCAAAATAATGCTTTTGCCTGAAGAAGATCCAAATGCCACACACATTATGATTGCTACTGGTACTGGTGTGGCTCCTTTCAGAGGCTATCTTCGCCGGATGTTCATGGAGAACGTTCCTACATTCAAGTTTGGTGGTCTTGCTTGGCTTTTCCTTGGGGTGGCAAACACTGACAGTCTTCTGTATGATGATGAGTTCACCAAGTATCTTCAGGAATACCCAGATAACTTCCGGTATGACCGTGCTCTTAGCCGAGAACAGAAGAATCAGACTGGAGGCAAGATGTATGTGCAGGATAAAATTGAAGAATACAGTGATGAGATCTTCAAACTCTTGGATAATGGGGCCCATATTTATTTCTGTGGGCTCAAGGGGATGATGCCAGGGATCCAAGACACACTAAAGAAGGTTGCAGAGCAGAGAGGGGAGAGTTGGGAAGAGAAGCTCTCACAACTCAAGAGGAACAAACAATGGCATGTTGAAGTCTATTGATGTTGTGTACTTTGCAGCAAGGTCATTCCTGACTTCAATCAGAACAGGATGCATTCTTCCTGTTAGGTAATGTGACATTTGTTTGTTATCTTTATCATGCACTAGTTGAATCGAAGTTGACATTCATCTTTATTATTGGTTGACGAAGAGGATAAATTGTTCTCTTGTCCAATGCAAATTAAGAACTCCTGGGTAATTTAATGAGATAATTCTGCATTGTTGTCTAATTTCTAAGTTTTATGTACTTTCATAACGTGAAATCATGCTGTTTCCTGGTATATCTGATCATTATTTACAATTTACATTATATTTCGACCTCTTTAGATTTAGATAGGGAAAAAGAGTATGCATGTCAAGAAAAAATCAAAGATTATGTGTTTGAAAGTTTTCTGGAAAGTGCACAGAGCGAGATATGATCCAACACATGCCAATTAGTAGTTTGCCAAGTATGAAGGCATAACTTTGCAAGCCATGTCAGGATTTTTCATCTCTGCATGCGATGCACTCACACGCGCGCGTACATACACACACTGATATATAAGAATAGTCACTTTTACATTTGTTTTGTGTCCTGTTTCTTGCTATTTTACCTTAAAAGAAAAAAAGTTTGATCTGTCACATATTGATTAGCGAGTCAAAAACATCCTTGAATTGCTTTTAGGTTTCAAAAAAATTGCTTTTAGGTTATTTTGGAAAAAAGTTTGAGCTGTTTTAAAATTTGTGTAGCAACTAGTCTGTACATAACTGTGACCTGTGCAAGATGTAGAAGACCAAACTTTTTGGTGATCTCTCTTTCTTGGAAAAAGGACCAATTTTTCAATGTTCTTTAATGAATTTCAAGCAATAAAAACTGTGTCGTCTCGAATTTGATTAGACAGCTTTACAAGTTTAATTAAGACTTATTGAGTTTGTATAAAGGAGAGCTGCATATTATTGGGACACTTCAAAGTATTTTGGATTTGGATCATTTTCATCAGCCTAGCTTCAGAGAGCAGCTTATGTATGCTCTGTGAAATAGACCATGGGTCTTTGTGACTTGTAACTAGGGCAGTGATCTGAATTCAAATCTGTTTAGTCCGATAGGGATTGATGCCTTTGACTGATTATCTGAGTCCAAATTTAAAAATGTTGTATAATATTCTGCGAATCGGGAGATATATCAAGGTTTTGTTAGACTATGATTTGATCCGATTTTTTTTGTATGAATATGTGAATATAAGATGGAATTGATTAATGTTTGATTAGTTAAAATTAAGATTGAATTTGTTAAAGGTTACATATAATTTTGTTACTTGACTTGGCTTTTTGAATCGTATTTTCTACTTTAAATGTATCTGGATATGAATTGTTAAAATGAATTAGGTAATTGGTTGGATTTAGATCATGGTTTCAAATTGGATTCGGATTAGAATTAATTGAATATATAATTTGATGGTGTGGTCTACGCAACGCGATTGAGTGGTTGAACTCGGTATTCAAAAAGGGGGAAATGGACTTGAGATTTCTTAGGAATGANAGGATTAGAATAAATTGAATATATAATTTGATGGTGCGGTCTACGCAACGCGATTGAATGGTTGAACTCGGTATTCAAAAAAGGGGAAATGGACTTGAGATTTCTTAGGAATGATAATGGGGATTCACGGGGACATCAAGTCAGAGCTGCTAGAATTGTAGTGGTGAACCGTCAATCACGAGGACAATAACAATCAATGGAAATTAATAGACAGGAGATTTATAGTGGTTCGTCAGTTTGAAAGCTTGAAAATTTGGTTAGTCCACTCTAATGAAGTCTTTTGCTCTTGAGAGAGTTTGCTATTATTTGGAGAAGAAGATTACAAAATTACAGAGAGTTGATTCTCAGATCTTAGATGCCCTTCAAAGCGAGGGATTGATCTCTATTTATAGCACGTAGGAGCTCTGTGTGATCAACGTGATCCCCGCTTAACCATCTAGATCCTTGCGTAATGGTCGTAATCCTTGCGTAATTGACGTGATCTCCTTGGGATTGTTACGACACATAAGGGGGAATATTTGTCATTAGAGACAATATTCCCTGAGCGTGACACGGCCTCCTAGAAAGTGAGTTGTCTCTGTCATAATGTGCACGAGTATTATGTTGGTGACGATNCGGATTAGAATTAATTGAATATATAATTTGATGGTGTGGTCTACGCAACGCGATTGAGTGGTTGAACTCGGTATTCAAAAAGGGGGAAATGGACTTGAGATTTCTTAGGAATGATAATGGGGATTCACGGGGACATCAAGTCAGAGCTGCTAGAATTGTAGTGGTGAACCGTCAATCCTAGAAAGTGAGTTGTCTCTGTCATAATGTGCACGAGTATTATGTTGGTGACGATTCCCAGTTTGCATCTCTCGAGCTATTAATCACTCACTGATTGGTTTGAGCTAAGAGGTTCAAGTTGGAAAACCTGAGCTAAGGTAACAGTTTGGGGAGCTAGGGAGTGAAAGGTCAGCCCATTCATCTATCTTTAGCTGCCTCGATTGGGACCTAGATTCCGACATCATTGAGCGGGCATGGACGATCTCCTGATCNTTGATTGGTTTGAGCTAAGAGGTTCAAGTTGGAAAACCTGAGCTAAGGTAACGGTTTGGGGAGCTAGGGAGTGAAAGGTCAGCCCATTCATCTATCTTTAGCTGCCTCGATTGGGACCTAGATTCCGACATCATTGAGCGGGCATGGACGATCTCCTGATCAGCCATTGCTACTGCTCGAGCTCAAACTTGACTAATTTTTAGAATCATCATAATTGAAATCCGATATGTTNGATTGGGACCTAGATTCCGACATCATTGAGCGGGCATGGACGATCTCCTGATCAGCCATTGCTACTGCTCGAGCTCAAACTTGACTAATTTTTAGAATCATCATAATTGAAATCCGATATGTTAACACACCGACTTGTAACTAACTCCATTGCTTGTCATTCACTGAACCCCATTATCCTTCCTTTTACTTCCTCCTCTTTTGGATGTGAACCAATGAAGGTAATAAGTACATTGTATGTAGAGTTGCTTGCTAAATGATCCAAGTAAATTGAACTTGGCTCGGGTTCGGATTAGTTTTAATTTGTTAAGGTTCAATCAAATAGAAAAATAAAGCAAATCTTGTTATATTTTTAAGCTAGTTATGTATATAAATAGAGTCTGAGCAACATTTTTGTTTGTTTTGACGTAAATATGTTCATATCTATGAACAACTCATAATCTATTGCTAAACAATACGTATTGAAAAGATGAATGAACTCAAATTTACCCCAAAATACTTCCAAGTTACATATGCATGCATCCCTATCCCTCTATTCTCTAATTGACTTTTGGAAAATTTGGACTCATGGGGTTTGATTTCATGCTTGATTATACATAATTGGGGGAATTTTTGTTGAAAAATTAATTATTTTAGAATTAGTTATTAAGTTCTATGGCTTAATTCTTAAATATTTAGAGACATATTTTTTTCGAATGCTTGCAAGTTTTTTTCTAGCCGACGAGTATGAGCATACTTAAACTGTTTTTGGGTGCCCTCTTAATTGTTCACTTTGGTGAGTCCTCTTGCATTGCAGCCCCTTATTGAATTAACTATTAATGCTTGCAACTCCCTCTCCCCATGTAATGGTTGCAATAAAAAAGAAAAAGAAATTACTATCGGATGCTGATGGGACTTTTCTGAAACGCCCTATGATGAAGACACGTGTCCTCGGTTTGCTAAAACACTGTTGCTTTGATCAAGCACCATCGGCGAACGAATGTCCTCGCCCCCGAGGTACCCTCATATATAGGATCATGCATTCTGTATATTATACAACAACACGTGTCCTCGGTCATCTATGTACCTCGGTCGCATACCTCCCTCGGTCCCCGAGACGAGCCTTTCCTCGGTGCCGAGAGTTACTCCGTCCTGGACGCTTCATCTATTCTAGGATAAGCTATTGACGTACAGGTCACTAGCCTAGGCTAGTCTAGGCTGTTCATCATGACCTCGTCTTACACAAGTAATGTCAGAACATACTGGAATACAGAGGTCACAGCCAATAGGGGATGGACGCGTGGCAAATGATGTCACATCAAAGACAGACAAACTGCACGCCGTTGCTGACACACGGTTTGGAAAAGCAAACAATTAATTGCACCCTTCCGTTGATGAGACCGCATTCAATGCGGTGAGGCTCGGAAATGAAAGGCAATAAATGCTCCTATTACAGAGCATTTATTGCATCCTCCCCGAGAGGAGCATATTGTACCGTCGGCATCCCGACGGCTCGGCATTGATTGCTCGGAACCCCGAGCAGTTAATTAGAGAAGACATTCCTCATCAAAATCAATGCACACGCAACCTGCACCTAATGATCATCTACTGACCACACTGACAACAATCATGAGCTTTTAAGGTATAAATACTCCTTGCAAAAGGCAAGACGGGTATGCAATCAAAAAACTCTCTACTACAATACATTTTTCTCAGTATTTTCTCCTTCCTCTCTCTCACTCAAAGACTGACTAGACCGTCGGAGGGGATACGCCGGAAAACACTCCGGCGCCCTTCTAACTTGTTCTTCTTTGTTCCAGGAACCTCT